TGTACTGCAAAGTAAAATACCGTGCCGGTAAAAACATGTTGGAAACACCACACAGAGATAAATTATGCATCACTGATTAAATATATTAAAACCAGACAGCCGTGTTGAACATGAAACATCCCTAGTAAGGGTTTTAAATTCTTTCCAAATGAGAGTCCGTTACTGCTGCAGCATTTCTGACACGCAGGTGATGAATTTGTTGGATGTATTAGGAGAAACACGTCACTGCTATCCTTTTCATTTTAAGAGCAACCCCCCCCTGAACAAATGTCCCTGAAGGATTAGGGTTTCTGCTGTCACGGTTACGCCTCAAAAGTTAAAACTATTAAATGACTCAAAGCTGAAATGTCCATCAAACACAGAAATCCATTACTTTTTTCCCCTAGGCATCCTGACAGTCAAACTAATGTTGCAACAAGAGGAGGAGGAGATGGGAGCTTTTCAACTTTTATAGCATCAGTCTGCTCCTAAACTGAGCATTCCAGGTCCTGAAAGTCTCCTGCATTTAATTTGGGGAATTACATCAAGCACAGGGACATTATCACCTTGAATACAATGCATTGGTAAGTTAAAATCTAAAGATTCAACACTGGCTCTCGACTGATGTCGGCATATTAAGTGGGAGGAAGAAGGTGTATATATATATATATATATATATATACACACACACACACACACACACACACACACACACATATACATACATATACATACACACTTTTAAGCTAAACATGGCTATGTGCCATTTAGTCTATTGGCATCAATGCATTTCAAACCCCAAAAGTACATTTCTAGGCTATTTTATTATAGCATTTTATAGTTATATGATGCATATCTTAAATGTTACATGAACCAAAGTTTTCCTTGCCTTTAATGCTGCAGCAGTAATCGTTCCTCTCATCTGATCAGAATAAACTCTCCATCGCGTCATGAGGTGGAGGGCTCAGCATGACTGGGCTGTGCACTAACACTAACTTCTTCCTACTGACGTCTACGAAGTCTAAACACTGCATGGGCAGGGAAAAAACTGCTTGGTTGGCACGTTCAGAACTCACTTAAAAAAAGACGAAGGGGGAAAAAAAATCCTCTCCTGCCTTAATCGTCACTGGGAATTACACTGGAATTGACTTTCAGCTTGTCGGCCTGCAGAAGGAAGTCGTTCTTCCCAAAGTTGTCCAGGATGTTTTATCTGTTGTGTGAGATTTGGGTTTTTTAAGCTGGAGGAAAATGCACTGATTTAGCAGAGAGGGGCTTTAACCTGGAGAATAGAGTAAATTTAGATCTTTGATTGGGAAACTGCTGACATATCTGGCCTGGACTCCAACATTTGGTTCTTTGTTATATTCTGCTCTGTTGAGCCTTGTTACTGAGGAAAAATGAGTCTTTGTGAGTGCATGTTTCTGGATTTTCTAGCCTCAACAACGACAGCGTTGTGGGGCGAAGGGGTTTGCGAGAAAAGGCAACCTTTTGCAGAGCAGCAAGCTGAAGAAAAAAAAAAATCACTTTTGGTCCAAACAAACTGTGGCGGCTGTGGCCATCAGCATTCGTTTTAGCACGTGGTCACAGCCGCAGGGCTGCTGTCTCAGCGAATGAGCATATTTGCCCCCGCATCAGCAAACACACAAACCTGTAGCATCCCTTCAGACAGCAGGAGCATTTGGTCAAAAAGAATAAATATGTCACGTCACTGGAACCACAATTTATAAGCACAAACACTTGGTTACTTCACTAACTCGATCTTCATACAACCAGGGAGGGGAACTAATGGCACATGAGGTGGAAACGACCAGCCTGTTAGTTTCCAGCCCTGCACATGACTCGTCTTTCAAATCGAGGAACGACAAAACAAATAAAAGACACCGTGAGCACCGACACTTCTACTCAAACATAAAACCCGCCTGACTTCTTTTTACAAATTAAAGCAAATAAATAGGGAGAGAGGACAGTACCTTTGCATAAACATGAGTACAAAAACATAACAGTCAGTGGATGTACAGTAAATGCGAGTGATTCCAAGAGGGGCAGAGCAGCGCCTTCGTGGATTTGTGACACCATGAATCAGTGTTAAGACGCCCCCTCCCCCCCCCCTCCAGACCAAGACCTGCGCTCACTACTCCAGATCGTCCACGTCCTCCGTCGCGACAGTGCTCGTCTGTTCTGAGGTCACACCTGAAAAACAAAAGACACATGAAGAAGAGGAAACGTCTCTGAGGCCTATCAGACCAAACTGTAAACGCTCTCTCCCACCAATGACATATGCGTTAATACCACTGTAATCTACTGTTACAACCAGCTTATTAGTATTAGTATTACATCAACTACTTCAAACGGACAGTTTATCCAAATAAATGTACACTGTATTGGAAAAAAGTATCACTCAAGGGAATTTGAATGCCATCCCATTCTTAATCCATAGGGTTTGTTATGATGTTGGCCCACCCTTTGCAGCTATAACAGCTTCAGCTCTCTGGGAAGGTGTCTGTGTAGGTTCTTAGTGCTCTTCATTGTAATCTAAGGAGCTTGGAAAGAAAAGCAAGCTTCTTCGGTTAAAGAAGCTTCTCGAATGAGAGATGAAATGTCTTCAAGAAACTCAAAGAAATCCAGTTGCTTTTCTTTCCCAGCTCCTTAGATCTTCTGGGAAGGCTTTCCACAAGGTTTAGGAGTGTGTTTATGCAAATTTTGAGCAGACACTGATGTTGGATTAGACGGCCTGGCTCGCGGTCTCCACTCTAATTCATCCCGAAGGTGTTCTGTTGGATTGAGATATTGACTGTGTGCAGGATTTGTTAACTTGTCGGGTTAACCTCGAGTTTTCATTTTTATAATGACTTCTGCCGCAGGCCTAACATGCTCCAAAGCACATCCAGTTTAAAATTAAGAGATCACCTACTGACCAATCAATTCTCTGTGAAAGTACATCACCGATGCTGGAAGCTCGCTCAGTGCGCAGACAGCAGGAAGATCTAATCTTTTTTTAATAGTGTCTAAAGTCTTTGCCTTTCCCCGATGAGCGTCAGTAAGAAATACAGATTTCTAGAAGCAACTTTGTTCCCTTTTTTCCCATGTTGGTTGCAAACAATTTTAAAAGGATTTCATTTTCCTGTAACCCTGAGCCAAGTCTATGTTTGATTTCTTTTTCTTTCATCTAGTTTATAACCACACACAGCTTCTGCATTTTGGCATTAAGTAAATAATTACAATGCCTCATGTGTTGTTGTTTCTCTGGGGTATTAAAATAATTAAGACCAGATTAAATTCTTTAATTATCCAGATATGTCAAACGTTAAAATTGAAAGAGGGTGTAGTTTTTTCCACTACTGTAGCATCACAAAATGTAATTAAAAAAAAAAAAGCCTCTTGAAGCCATAACAGTAGCCCGACAGCAATTTACAGGTATTTTACTTTCATGAACACTCAACATAATTTATTATTTGGCATCATATTTGGTGAAGTCAGTCTAAAGACCTACATGATGCCCTAGGTGCATGCACTCTTTACTCATTTTTGATACTCGCTGTGAAAATTCATCATTGGTGCTGCTGTTTGAACCACCATACTGTTTGGACACATCCATCAGCTGATGCAGACTGTGGCTGTGGATGCAAAAAACCCTTGCTGGACCTGTAGCTGTATACATTGTCTAGCATCTCCATTAGCTTCGCTGATAGAAGAACAGATGCAGAAATTTTTACCAACCTATACCACAATACCTGCCTTCATTACTTATTTCCTGAGGTCTTCAACTCTTTGTATTTTCTATTTAATTGGCAACTTTTGGGACAAATAAACATTTCTTATCTCACTTTCCCTCGGGTCTGTATTAAATCTGTAAACATGACCAATACTATGTATTGAATTTACTGGAGGATTCACACATCACTGGCTAACACCCTGCGGCTGTTTAACGTCATACTTGAGGCATCGTCGTCATTGAGTGACTTCTTCTGCCCCTCCACGTAGCCGTGACTCAGCAGCTTGGACATGCTGACGGGTGTAGTCTTCTTATCATAAGACCTGAAGAGGAGGCAGAACGCAGCAGTTTTACTTTACGCTTTAACATATATATATATATATATATATATATATATATATAATATATCTATATATATCTAGCAACACATGTATAGTGACTCATTTTACCTTTAACATATATATATATATATATATAGTTACTTTAACGAACCAAACAACCAGAGAGTTATTACCTTCTTTTGTATTTGTTGGTTATTGTCAGACCCTCCATCTCAGAGCCTGGAGCATCAGGAGACATCTGCAGGTTGAGAAAGCTGTGGTTATCTCTGTATCACTTCAAGACATAAAGGACTTGCATGTAACAGCAGAATTATTCAACAAATACATCATTACTTTAAGTGGGCTACTAATATAGCATGGGGGTAAATCTGGGAAACGGAAAAAGGATGAAATGAAGGAAGAAAAGTGAAGAAAATAGTTATGCCATGAAAAATGATCCAAGAAACTGACAACAAAGCAAAACTGCTCAAACCCAAAATACTTAAAAAGCATAAATATATAATAAATAGCAGTTTTTTTGCACTTCCTCTGCACATTTTATTTGATGCAAACTTCTCAATATCTGAAAACTATCTCTGTCACAGCTCAGGAACGTTACTTTTTCAGATATTGTACAGTCTAACATATTCAAAGCATCGCTTGTACTTACCCAGAGATTTGATTAAAAAAAAAACAAAATTCCAATAAATTATCACCCAAAGCACTGGCAGCAAATTAGACCCAAATAAACTTCAAATAAGCTGAAAATGCGTCAATGGAGCGAAACCAGGTGAAAACACAAGGAAAGGTGATGGGAAAAACTTATAAATAAATTAAATATGGAAGGCACTGGTATGGCATTAGTGGAACGGCAGTGGAGGTGGGAGGGGGTGATGCATTCTTGGAGTCCATTCACCTTCTCTTTACCCTGGGTAAATCTATCAGTCTCTCTTTCCCAGGATG